TTAAAAAAAGAAAGTTTCGGTATCTCGGTAAGCCAGGAGGATCTCTCTCTCCTTTCCTTCGCCCTGTTGAACCCCATGAAACTAAGAGTTTCTCACGCTTTCCTCGTCATCATATGCTGCTTATCTCTGAGTTCTTACACAGCTGAATGCCGCGGCTAAGAGCCTGCTGCGCCGTCGGCAGCCTAGGGATGAGCTTAGCGTTTTTTGTCAGGAGTGCGAGAAAAAGTTTTTTGTAGAGGGTGGACTCCATATACGCATGAAAGCAGCAAAGATGCCGTACTAGGTCTGCGCGTGACTGAAACAGAAAAAGAAAGCGACGCGCAGTTCATGATGCCCGAATGGTAAAAACGCCTGAAGGGAACATCGATATATTATTTTCACATCCGTTCATTCCATATTTTGCATATTTAGGTATGTTCAATCCCCCTATTTTCAATCCAAGTCTGCGCATTTCAACTGGTTTACATTTAGATATCATACGTGTGTTTCATGTTCAGACTTTGTGTCAATGTCTATCCTTTAATACGGTGGTTTCGGGACCGCATTTACTGGAGTGTATTCGATTACCAGCAAACAAAGCTGCTTAGCCATGTCCTCCACCACTTGCAGGCGCCCGTAGCCGCTTGTATCTGAGCGCCCATTTGGCTGCAATTACTCCTTTAGTGGAGTGCCTGCTGTCAGGGGGGCGGGGCGTTTACTGCGATGCTGCGGCGGAGTGAATTGCGATCTCCGCAGCACGTATCCGTAGAGACGATGCACTACATGTTGTCTTTTTCCCTATAACGTGCCTGCTCTCGTCTGCATGCGCATGCACGTTGGCAGCGCCTTGGGGACGACAACTTGACCGTCCTAGCTGTCCTCAAGGGGACCTCGAAGACATACCCAGCTGCCGTCGCCGTTACTTTTGTTGTGTATCGTAACTACGTTTAACTGTCTATGCCGGAGCACCATATATGCCCGCGTGTGGATACTAGACACGCGCTCCTGAGTTGTTGCTTAGCGCCCAAAACTAAAACCAAAAGCAGTTCTGCCAAGTGAACACAAAAAAGGCAACTGTTGGGGGTTAAACGAGATTTAAGGTGCTGGCTAAAGCGACAGCTGCCTTTCCTCTGCAGTCCCCCCCAGGACAGAAGGACGTTTGCTGACTATAAGTGGCATTGGCTGCACGTCCCTCCTGTGCAGCTTCGCCTGTGGTTCTGTGCGTTTGCTGCTGCTGTGAAGAAGATACACCCATGCTGGCAGCAGCTTCTCTCTCGCAAAGCGGAGTAGGTCCGCTGGTGGTTGCTGGGGCAGCGGCTTAAGAGAAGTGACCAACGGGAAGCGTAAGACGATAAAGGGGTTTGCGCTTTTGTTCAGGGCACTCACCGCTCCGACCAGTTGGTTTGTAAAGCCTTTCGTCGGAGGATGGAGCGCAGGAAGCGTTGACCGGAACTTCATCGTGGAGCGGAAGCAGAGCAGGACGACAGCCGTCGGCCGCCCGGATCAGATATCAGGGTTCCCTGCTGCAGGATACCGAACCAAGCAAGTTCTTCGCCACAGCCAAACAAATGTTAAGTTGCTCCTCCATGCTCGTGGGGCAGATGATACCTGCAAGTTAATAATAGGAATTATGAGCCGTTCGTGGCCTTCTGTGAGGTTTGTGCATGGGCACGACGCGGCTTTTTCGAGGCGTAGAGCGGGCCTTGGGGCAAGGAGCAGGCGTAGAGTCGTTTGTTGCTGCGGTGTCCGTTGAAATCTCTGGATTTTCTGTGGGCTCGAGCTGGGTCAAAGTGGTCAGCCTGAACAAACCGGAGGAAGCAGAAGGAGATGCTTGGAGTTCAATGTCACGCGACACAGCTACCGTAATGGAGTGGCAAGCGAAAAGTCGATGTGCCATGCTACCGGCGATGAGATTATCTCTATTAGTCCCAAACAAACAATATAGGGTTTCCAGGGGGGAGGAATGCATATGCACATGAAATCAACACAGGCGGCGGCTGCATGTGCCCGTGAGTGCAGCACAGACGGCAAGGCCGAACATATTTCGGAAGAACACGAAGATGACGGGGGGGATGGGACACTTACAATTCCGCATTAAAGGCAGTAGGCTCTTCAGCACTGGGTTCTGGTGCGGGCGCATCGGCATTCTCGGCGCCGTCGTTGTCGGCCATGGTCGTTTCCGGCATCTGAGGAGGGCTCGTCTGGTCGCCATCGCCCGGGCTTACAGCGAGAAGAAGATGTTTGGAGCGTCTAGAGCGCTGCTTCCTTTTGCTGTTCCCCATCTTAAACTACAGTGACTGTAGCCGTTTCGAGAGAGAGACCTTCGGACGTCGATGCTCGCAGAGACAGCCGAGACGCTGGGGATGCTACAGAGACAGAAGAAGAAGCAAGTCGGGGCAAGTCCAAGTTTGTCGCAATAAAGAAAGCAATCTTTATCGAAAAGTAGAGCTTTATAAAAGTGAACTGTAGTGTATATCATGATATCGGCTAGCTGGACGGAGGCCCTGCGCGGGCCCGGGTCACTGGCCCGCCAAGCGCAGCCCTTGCCCGTCCTGGTTGTCGGCGTTCCGCTGCGCTT